TGTTCTTCCTCTTCAGGCTCGCGGTGAGTATTATAGACCACCCAGGTCACGACCAATCCTGGTCCCAAGTATTCTCAACCACTTCTGCCTCGTCAACTTCATTCGCAAACGCTAGTATTCTTAAACCACTTCTGGTTGCCCGAGTATTTGTTAAGTCTCAATTATACTTCTTTTTAGTTAGGACTTATTGAACAATTCCACTCATCCCATGCACTCTTGCAATATAATTATTCTCTTTTTGATTCAATTTTTGTGCAGATATAGCTAACCCAAAACTCATCTAACAATACCTTGATACACCTCAATTTTTGTGCAGGTATTGAGTGAAGAGTTGAAGTTGAAGACCCATAAGATTGGAAATTTAAGGAGCTAAGGAAAAGGAGAAGAGTACCTACGCCGAGCGCAAGACTACCCGCACCGGGCTTGGTCAAGACAAAGAGCAACACTTTGTAACTTAGCACTACGCTAGGCACAAGAGTAGATGCGTCGGGCGTGTCTTGAGACATAGAGCATCTAAACTCTCTAGAAGGCCCTGCGTCGGGCGCGAAGTATAATGCGTCGAGCGTGTAAACCCTATCCTGTCTCACCCAACTCATATTTGAGCAAAGCTTCGAGGCTCATTCCCTCATTCACACATTGGGCGACTTTTAGGAGCTGAGGAAGGAATTCCCGGTGCTTGGGACCGTTCGTGTGTGGGTTTTTCCTTCGGTTCTTCCATTTCTCTTCCATCTCTATTTTTGTTTCACCCTCATTGTTTTGAGCGGTTTTACCCATTGTTTTGTGGGGTTAGATGTAGCCAACTTAACTCTTATGTAATCTTCACTTTATTAATGATATATATGTTGTTTCATTCATTGTTGTGTTATGTTTCTATTCTTAATGCTTGCTTTGGATTTATTTTTCTTTGCTTGATATAGAGTCCATTGGGTATTGAAAAATAGCCTTTGAAACTAACTCTAAAACAAAATACCTAGTGGGAAATATATCTAGGAATGGAGCTTGGCCCATTAGTAGTCTTAAACCCTAACCCGTAATGCAGGTGTATGTATTGGATACTCAAGGAATTGATATTCATTACTTGCACCTAGGCTCTTGCTCTAAGGGATTAGGTTTGAGTAAACTTATGGGTTGACTAAGCAATGAATGTAACAAGAGAACAAAGATTCATCAGTGTGAAGTTTGGTGATATCTGACCCCACAATCTTACAAAATCACAATACCATTTCTATCCCTTCCACACACACACAAAGTATATTATAGGTTTGAAATTCTAATAGTCATAACCTTTATTTGAATTGCATGACAATCTATGAAAAATTGGAATTATTCTTTAGTCACAAATAGTCAATAAATGCTTATTTTACCTACTAGCCCCTATGGATAAGATTTAAATTTACTACTTGAAAGGCCGGTCTACTTGTCGTGTTTGAGTCCGTTGATAAAATAAAATTGATTTATAACAAAGACAGAAACTAATGTCAACGAAAATCTCAACAGTATTCTCAACCACTCCTGGTTCGTCAACCTCACCTGCTCACGCTAGTATTCTTTGTTCAGCCACTTCTAGCTCTCAGTGCGTATTATCGACCAACTCTTGGCCTGCCAACTTCACTCACTAGCGTTAGTAATCTTTGATCAGCCACTTCTAGCTCCTAGTGAGTATTCTCGACCAACTCCTGGCCCGTTGACTTCACTCATCAACGCTAGTATTATTTACTTAGCCACTTTTAGCTTGTAGTGAGTATTCTTTGACAAGCCTCTCCAAGCTTTACAAGTATTGTTTCCCTAGCCTCTTCAGGCTTTACAAATATTAACTAGGCAAGTTTGGTTTGAGTGTTTAGGTTACTCTCATAGAGAAGATACAGAGGTTTCTACACTCACTAAGGTGTGCAACCTTAGTCTTTACAACGATTGAATGTTTGGTTTACTCTCATGGAGAGGATACATAAGTTAGTACACTCACTAAGGTTTTGTTCCCAAGATGTACGTGTTTGGTATACCTTAGTTTTCAGAGATGAATACACTATGGTATATTTGACTTTATATGCTCTATCTCTGGTTTCGTTGTTTCGTGGGCTTGATATCACTTTGTTAAGAATGCAAGGCCAAAGGCCAGCCAAAAAAAAGCCAACCTTCCAAGGTTAGAGACAGTGATATATATATTGTCTTGTAGAATCTGCCTGTTGCAAATGTCCATTGAAGCAAATATATAGTCGTTCATGACTAGTTCAATCTTCTCATTTAATGCTTGAGTTCTTGCATTAAATGTTGCTTCTTGTGATACACGTTGCGTGAAGTATTATTTGTCTTGGTAACAGCAGTGTCTAAATTTAGCAGAGACCTATGAACCTTTTTGTCCTTTTCTGGTCACATAGTTGTGAAGTGTTGTCTTTATCTGAAAAAGTAATGTACTTTTTTTGCCACATGCATGCTCTTGCTTTCACATGCATGCTCTTGCTTTTGCGTGCTTTTCTTCTTCTTCTTTTTGATCACACATTTACGTTGAGAGCTTTTATATGATCATAGACGATGCCTGATTTGTCCTTGGAGACATGATTCTTTAATTTCTTGCGTGGCAGTCTTCGTTTGCGTCTAGTAGTCCATGTGCGTCTCAAGCCTTGACTTTCTTCTGAGCATTAGTCATTAATGTTTTGACTTTCTTTGGTTTGGTCAATTTGTATATGAACAGACTTTCATTTTCATCCGAAATGCCTATCAGTCTGTACTATTCTTCGTCTAATTTTGTTGACTTCCGTTTTGTTTGACCAACTTCTGTCTGAATTCTTTTGCTTTGACTCATATTTGTTTCATGCTTGAAGCTTTGTTTTGACTTTCATTTTCATCCGAAATGCCTATCAGTCTGTACTATTCTTCGTCTAATTTTGTTGACTTCCGTTTTGTTTGACCAACTTCTGTCTGAATTCTTTTGCTTTGACTCATATTTGTTTCATGCTTGAAGCTTTGTTTTGACTTGTCTATATGAAGCTTTCGTCTGTCGTCTTATATCGTCTGATGCATATGTTTATTCTTCATTTTACCTGTACTTATATTTTTCTGAAACACTGACACACTTGTTAGAAATAACAATATGTATTATATTTGTCATATTCAAAATCTCACTTGGAATTGCTTCGTCTTCGTCTAACTTAACATATATATATATTTAATCATTGAAATTTAATATATATTATAAATTATTTAATTTAATCATTAAATCATTAAATCATTGAAATTTAATATATATTATAAATTATTTAATTTAATCATTAAATCATTAAATCATTGAAATTTAATATATATTATAAATTATTTAATTTAATCATTGAAAATTTTTTTAGGTTCGTTCCTGGAGTATCCACCGCTGACAACAGTGACTAATCTCCTCGCTACGTTGGAGGCACCTCAAAGGGTGGGATAGCTGGCCCCAAGATTTAACGCGGCTGCATACACAAGGCAGGATTCGAACCCCTGACCTTGCTTAAGCGTGGATCAACCCCTACCGCTGAACCACACACTTGGGGTTAAATCATTGAAATTTAATATATATTATAAATTATTACAGATGCACATATTTGAAATTCAATAGAACAACAAATCCATTCTTGTCCAAAAATACCAATAATATATTGCATCTCAGTTAAATTAAATATCAAATTAAATATCCTTATTAGGCTAAAAACATGATGTCAAATTAAATATCCTTATTAATAGTCTAAGATCCCAACAACCTTGCATATAGATTTTTGTTTGAATAAGCACGAAATTTTTGATAATTTAGATGCCGGCAATTCTCAGCTCATATTTTTGCATTAAAATGTGCAAAATTTACCTATAGATTTATAACAAACAAGCATTTATTTGGTTGATTCACCTTCATTCATAGTTGTGATAGTTAAAACCATTGATAACAAAGTTATTTATATTGAATTTTAAGTCGATGGTATATGTCTATCACAAATATATAATTTTCTTGTGGTGCAATTGTCACTTTATGAGAATTTGTCAAATAGTTCCCGATTAAACAAGTCACCATTTTGTAACAAAAATAGACAATAAATACCGAAAATGCAAATGTTAAAAGTTATAGGGAATAAAAACAAAAATAGAAATTTATTAAAACTAAAAAAATATCATATTTACAAAGAAAAATAATATTTAAATCATATATCAACTAATTAAACTATTAAAAACTACACTTCTTTACGTATTTACTCTATTATGTTACATGTTTACACCTCTTTGTATTAGTTGAAATTTACTAAAACTACAAAATCTTGAAGAAAAAAAATATCATTAATTAAGATGTGAAGTCCAACTCTATCTAATAAAAAATTGAGTGTATTAGAAGGTGTATTCTTAACATTTTTCATCCTACTTATATTAGAAACTCTATCTAAATATTATCTAATACATAGCAAATACTCAATTAATCAAGTTATTAACAAATTGTTAATCCGAACTACTTATGTTAGAAACTCTATCTAAACATTATCTAATACATAGTAAATACTCGATTAAGTTACTAACAAATTGTTAATCCGAGTATAACTAAATACAATTCCCTTAAATGAGGTATCAATTTTGAGTTGAGATAATTAAGCAACTTCTTAAACTGATTATTAATTAGATAAAACAATAAAAATTATTAACCAATAAAACTAATGCACAATTCATATCAAGTTAAAAAAAGTCAATTGAGCTGAACAATTTGAAGTATGCCACTTGCCACACTACTTTCTAACCATTTATAATGTAGCAAATGTATGCATCCATCCATCAAGGCACATTAAATATTCATACTTGGTTTTCTTTTTTCAAAACGTTCAATGCATCAATGTACTATTTTCTAGTACAACATTTATGTATGAATATTCAAAAATTGTCTAGGGTGGTTGAAATGTACAGAATGCATCTAAGAAGAATGGTATTTTATTGGAAAGGAAAACAAAAATGCAAGAGTTGAATTAAGTAGGATGGAAGCTAAGTATATACCAAACCAATCCAAACCAAACCCAAGGCCCAAATAATTTAGAAAAGCAAACCACAAAGAGAACATAGGAAGGGTAATGCGGGGTGAGGAAGAGGAGAAGAAGCTTATAGATTAGATTAGAAAAAGAGAAAAGAGAAAATAGAAAAAAAAGAGAAACTCAGTGGAATAATTGATGAAAAATTTCTCTATATAAACAGATATCCACACACGCCAATCCCTTTCTCTTGCTTCGGTAACTGCAGAGAGAAGGAACAAGAAGAAAAGAGAAGAAGCGGTGCAAAGCACAAAAAGCAGAAGGAGGAATCGGCGGTGCTTCTCCGGCGATCGCTCATCGGTGCCGGCGAACTTCAGATCGCTGTTTTTGCTTCTACGGTAAGTCGGTGAATCATCACCGCCGCCTTATTCTGTTTCTGCACTTCGTGGATCTGTGGTTTTTGTCGCCGATTGTTAAGTCTCGTTGTGTTTCGGTTTCGGTTTCGTTTTCCGATTATTGTTTCTTTCAGTGAAAGTAGATTTTTGTGTTCCTGATTTCCGAGTTCATTAGCGTTTTCGGCGAGTGCGTTCGCGGTTAGGGATTGGAATCTGGTGGAAGTGTTGTGGTTTGAAGGGGAATACGGCTTGTGGTTTTGTGTTTGTTGCGGATTGTGTTTAAGCGTGGGTTTAATTTGAGGAATTTGCTTTTGCCGTTTTGATTTTGGTTCTTGTGACGAGTTTTATGGCGTTTGGTTATTTATTGTTGCTTTTCTGTGGTGTTTTTGTTTTTGTTTGCAGAAATTTGATTTTTCCGGAGGCATTTTTGTTAGAATCTTGCAGTACTGGCTTTTTAAGCTCACTGGTGGAAAATTGTTATATATGGGCTGAGGTGTGCTTTTCATGGGAGGTGTGGAGGATGAAGAACCAGCTTTGAAACGCATGAAATTATCCTCTAAAGGATTAGTTGGTCTCTCAAACGGTTCGTCTTCAGAGGAGCCTGTTGGAGGCTCTTCAAGTGACTTGATGGCTCGGCCCCTGTCATCTGAAGGGGACGGCGAAGTTGTTGGTTCCAAAGGGGTTATAAAAAGAGAGGAATTTGTTAGGATAATCACTAAGGCATTGTATTCACTTGGTTACAAGAAGAGTGGGGCACGCCTAGAGGAGGAGTCTGGCATAGCCTTGCACTCTTCTGTGGTGAATCTGTTTATGCAGCAAATACTTGACGGCCATTGGGATGAGTGCGTAGTCACATTGAATAAAATTGGTCTAGCAGATGAAAATGTTGTTCGGGCAGCCTTGTTTTTGATATTGGAGCAGAAGTTTTTTGAGCTTCTTGATGGGGGAAAGGTCATGGATGCATTGAAGACGTTGAGGACTGAGGTTGTGCCACTATGTGCTGATAGTAGTAGAATTCGTGAACTTTCTTCCTGCATGGTTCTTCCATGTGGCCAAGTTGGTTCTTCTAGGCAAGATATTGTACCGGTGAGGTCTCGGTCAAAACTGCTGGAGGAATTGCAAAAACTACTTCCTCCAACAGTATTGATACCTGAAAAGAGATTGGAACATTTAGTTGAACAAGCCCTTATCTTGCAAAGAGAGGCTTGCCAGTTTCACAACTCATTGGATAAAGAGATGTCGTTATATTCAGATCATCACTGTGGAAAAAGTCAGATACCTTCTAGGACACTACAGGTTAGAAAACGATGTCTATATGGTGTGAGGTTTATATGAGAATCATTATATTTAACTTTTATACTATTAACCTTGCTGTAATTTTCTGCAAAATCATTGTTGGTTACTTGCTAGTCAGTAGTGGCAATATGATCCTCTTTCTGGTTGCGTTTTCAAAGTTGAACTTTTGTTGTTTACTTAGGGTGTGTTTGGAAACCCTTCCCATTAATGTAAATGGGAATTTACACATTCCGATGCACTAAACTAAGAAGTAAGAATTTTTGTCTTTTCCTGTTCAACGTGATTTTGTAAATTTTCCACGATAAATCAAATATGCACATATTCTTGTTCCTTTACGCTTTTTTTTTTTTTTTTTTTTTTTTTT